GCTTATGTATTCATTATTTGATAGCATCAATAAGTTCCTCCTGTGACTTTACATTTTTAGTAAATGTGTTAAATCCTAAAACGTGTGTTGGACTTGTACAATAACTAGATTTAATGAAGTATTGCTCTTTCTAATGTTGACGTCTTATCTGAATTTATCTGGTTATTGTTTCCTCCCTCTAGTCAGTGGTGGTCAGAGGTTCAGGAGAAAAAACGTCTGGTGGCTGATCCTCGGGACACAAAGGTGAAGAAGAAATTGAGGGATCTAAAACTGCAGCCTGGGTTCCCAAACCCGGCGGTGGCTCAGGCTTATCTGCAGCCTGCTGTGGACCAGTCAGACAGCTCCTTCAGCTGGGGACGCCCACAGCTCGACGTGATTAAAGAATATCCTTTTCCCTCTATGTGAGCGGTTGAGCCTTTTGTGTGTGCATGTTATTCAATGAATTTTCCTGAACCGACAGTTCACGTTCTGTCTGAATCGTTTTGGTTGGAGCAGTCGGAAAACTGAGGAGACACTTCAGCCTGTGATCAAGCAGCTCAACATGCAGCAGGTAGCTGAGAAATCTCACTGAGGCAAATGGTGAAACTATCATTTGCCTCTTTGAGCCTTTTGCACAATGTTTCTCAAGACACAGTTCCATGCATTGTTAAGAACTTATTTAGTCTCAGTGTCTTCTGTGTCTTCGTGTGATCCCAGACTGACACCATGATGTGTGGATCGGGGCTCTGTGGGGGCAACACCCTCAGTTCACTGGGACCTCTTCTTCTTAATGTCCCAGAAAATAGTATTTTTGTGGTCATTGTTAAAATTAACGGTTGGACTAGTGACATAAATGTAATGTAGCAGTTGAACTATTTACTGAAAGTATCTAATGGTCAATCCACTAATTAGTTTGTTAAGAGTAAGAATAAACAGCTGGAACAGTTGTGGAATGTGTTAGCAGTTGAAATATAATGGATAAATAGTTAAATAACTAGTTTTTAGTATGAATAAAGTTAGTTAGTTTAGCAAAAGCTAAATGATAAGTTGTGGATAATGGTTTTAATCTTTTAATCCTTAATCCTTATCTCTCGCTGTTTGTGTTCAGACTCAGCTGCGGATCGACTCTTTCTTCCGCATGGAGCAACATGAAAAACAAACGATCCGCAGCCAGAGACTCCGCCGAGCGGTCACCTGCATGAAGAGGAAGGAGAGGGGGGAAGGAGAAGAGGACAGTGAGGAGGAGATGCCTTCCCCAATCAAATCTAAGAGAGGGAAGGAAGCAAGCAAGGATTCAAAGAAAGGAGGAGAGAAGGAAACAGAGAGAGCGGTGGCAGGAGGAGGGTTTGTGGGGTCAGAAGTAACTGATGAATCTCCTCATACCTCTCTGAAGGACGTGAGCAGCATCAACCACGAGTCCATCTCGGTAAAGTCTGTCTCTCAGGCTTCTAAGACTCCACCTCGGAAGGTCAGGAGCAGCAGCAGCAGCAGCTCTGGCGATGACAGCGATGGTGGTGTCGAAGTCGCTATGGTTACCGCCCGATCTGTCTTTGAAGGAAGCGCACGAGGCCGCAAAGCGAAAAACACAAGAGGGAGAGGCAGGGGAAGAGGAAAGAAAATGGGAGGAAAAAACTGAACTTAATATGAACTAGAACAGCACTCAGTGAGCGCATACCTCCACCAAGGCCCAGCAGTCCCTTTATGAAACCACATTTAAATACAATAGATCCAGATTTTTGATTGGATCTGCACCAAATTGAACAGACTCATAACTATCAGCCAAGGTTTATGAATTATTCTCTGAGAAATCAATGTTGAAAAACACCAGAACTCATTCTTGGATCTGCCACCTGAGCCAGATCTGCACCAATATAATGAATTCTTTCCTGACCACATCTTTCAGATTAATGTTATAATCTGTCATGTAGTTTTTGCATAATCTTGCCAATGTACAAACAAAAAAACAAACAAATGCAGACGAAGAGCAAACCTCCGTGTTGATGCCTGTGATGTTGTATGAATTCATTTTTGTCTATATCAAAGAAAATGTCTTTTCTTACTCTGTGACTTAAAATATTTTCTTACGTGTTTAGATGTAGCTCTGCTAGAAGAAGACAATATTTTGTGAATTTATTAAAAGCAGAATGCTTTTGAAGTAAAAATATTTCCACAGTGGATTCTAGTTTGACTCAGACTCGTCATTCGTTGTGTCTGCCACACATCCCTCACATTTATTTCAGGGTGTATTTCAGCCAACTTGTACTTCTGTGTACACCCATACACACTCCGCCTGCGACACACACACATATAAACTTCTGCATATAAAAAATTCAGGTATTTTTTGCATTAATTGTATTTTAACTTTGGTTTTCTTTCTCTTTTAAGTTTCATTATGTCGGTCTTTAATCACATTACCCCTCCTCCTCCCTGCGAGGCTCCAGCTCAGCAGCCTGGGGGAGCAGGTGCTGCTGTCAGTCACTTTTACAGCTTCGGCGAGGGGTTTGAGCCAGAGAGCGCTAGCAATGTGGGGAGCTTGGACAAGAAGTTAGGAAACACTGTATTTATGTGTAACTTAAAACCATAGAGGGTGATGGTTGAGGGCCTGCTATAGATCTGGATCCAGTTTGACTTAAATCCAACGGGTTAGGGTTTGAGACTTAAAAGAGAGAAACAACTCTTGGCCTAGATTTTTTTTTTTTTCTGCCCTCCTGATTGGACTTCTTCAGACATGGAGACTCAACAGTCTACGACAATGGAGGACTCCGAGACTAAAGAGGGTGAGAAATTGGATTCATGCACAGATTAAAACAAAATTATGTCTTTTTTTTATTTCAGAGGCATTCATTACTAAACGACTGTCTGTGAAAGATGTTAACAGATATTTATACAACACAACAGCTTTAAAGTGAGAAGATCCCAACCTCAGTCATCTCCTGCATTGTCACTCTGTGGGCTGCCCTGACCTTCTCTCTAAACCTGTCATACATAACTGGAGCTGTGTGTCATACACCCTGATAGCTCATAGCTGGAGTCTGACACTCTGGCATAATATTACAGAGCAACACAACTGGATCAGTGTTGGCATCATGAGCCTCAATGTGATTCATTTATAGAGCGGATGATTAAGAGTTACCTGTAATGTGATACGAAAACAACAACTACAAAAACTTGTGTTTGGGTTCTGATCAGAATCAGAAATACTTTATTAATCAATTCAAACTGAAGACAATCAACATTGCAGATCCAGCCCTCAATCGAAGGGAACTTGGAGCCTCAGCCATTTATGACATATTACCTTTTTTCATGCAGACAGAAGAAAAGTCCTAAGGTCATCTTTGGAGTTTATGTGTTGGGGGATGTTGTATATGTATTTCTGCCTGATGCAGTCCTTTATTGTCATTTTGATGCACTAGCGATTCAGGCTGCAACGATTATAAATCACAAAATCATACAAAAATACACTGTGGAGCCTACTGGGAAGTTATGGTGAATATGACAACTCAGAATTAATTTATTTAGGGAGTATGTACAGTTTATTACACTCTATTTTGAGTTATTTTAATTCTTCGTTCCAGTTTTATTGCTACTTTGCTCTATGTGCAATGCTCTTGACATGCTGCTGACACAATCATTTCCCAATTTAGGATCAATAAAGTAAATATCTATCCGTCTAGAAGTACTTGTGCAGCTTGTGTTTCTAAAATTTGGTTTTAGATAAGCTCCGTATAAAAATTTATTGTTTTTACCCTGTGGAAGGAGAGCTGGCCAAAACCATAATGGCTCGGCATTTCCTCCCCTCTCTCATTGGCCCGGAGGCCTGGGAAGGATACGTCTTCTCTGATCTGAAGATCCGCATCAAAGAGTCCACTGACCTCTACGGAGCTGTCCTCTGGCCCTCGGTACGTACAGTATGTCCCAATATTTAACTACCGTGAATTCTAAGCCATGCCAGATATAAACTTGTTTCTTCCAACCAGGCAATGGTGCTGTGTCATTTCTTAGAGACCAACCAAGAAAAATACAACCTGACAGACAAAAATGTGATTGAACTGGGTGCAGGGACCGGACTCGTCACCATCGTGTCCAGCCTGTTAGGTGCAGAATTAAAAACGATCCAGTGACCATATTTATCCCTTCAACGTTTCAATGTTATGTCTCTGTATTGTTTCCTTTAAGGCAGAGCTGCATTGTGTTTCTTCTTCAGGTGCTAAGGTGACGTCCACAGACCTGCCAGACGTGTTGGGGAACCTCCAGTATAACGTTCAGCATAATACGAAGGGCCGGTGTAAATACGTCCCCCTGGTGGGTTCCTATTATCATGTTTGATATTTTGAGGTACTTATTATTATAATTAAACCATCACCAGCAATATATTCTGCATTGTGTTTGGTTTTTGTTGTTTTTCTTGGTATATGTTTGGGACAGGGACCACATGTAAATCGAAAGCCAAATGGATGGTGTGGACTTTTCCTTTAAAATACAAACTATTAGAATTGTGAATAGAATATACTGGTGTATTACTGAGCCAATCAACCCTAAATCTTCTCCAGGTCACTGAGCTCTTCTGGGGTCAGGAGGTGGAGCAGCGTTTCCCGCGCGCCACACATTGCTTTGACTACATCCTGGCGGCCGATGTGGTGTACTCCCACCCGTACCTGGAGGAGCTGATGGACACCTTCGACCACCTGTGCCAGGAAAACACACAGATCCTCTGGGCTATGCGTTTCCGCCTGGACCCAGAGAACAGCTTTGTGGATCGCTTCCAGCAGCGCTTCCACCTGGAGGAGCTGTACGACCTCCCGAGCCTGAGCATCAAACTGTTCAGGGCCTGGAGGAAGGACACGAGAACCAAAGACAGAGGAGAAGCTGCTGTCTGAACAGAACAGAGAAGTCCATACTGTGTTTTTTAATTTGCACTCGTGTTTTTATGGATCTTGAATAAATGTCTTAATGTTTTTACTTCATGCTGCTCATACTTTGACATACTATTATGAGATATCAAGATGCGATCCATGTTTTTACAGTGTATTTTATTATATATCCACATTAAAATGTTGCTAAACTGGAAATTCTGTATGTCTGGATACACTCAAGGCTTTTTCATATGGAAAATGATTTGCTGTCAGGCCCAGAAACACTCAACTCTTGTGGTTCACTTTCACCTCATGGCTTCATTTTCTGCAATAATGCTCTGTTGACTACCTGCTCCGCACCAACAGGCGGAGAAACACAGTGAAGCACCTGAATAGGCAGATTCCTAGAGGAGCTGGTGGAGACCAAAAACAGGGATTCAAGAGAGTGAATACTGAATTTAAAAGTTCGATCAATCAATTCAGATCCATTGCACCAGTGTGACCGAAAAATAAATTGGTTATTTGTTTTTACGTAACTTCATCTGACATTTGACAAGAATGAGACATTTTGTTGTTGTATTTACCAAAAAACAGTTTGACTTGATGAACTCTAATTATGCTATGACTTACATTTAACTAGATAAAACTTCACATTCATTTGTTGTTGAACCCAAAGTTCAGTAGCAAAACAAAAAGTCTTTAATAAATGTACCAACAAGAGAAAAAGTCCAAAAAACAGAAAAACACTGGAAATTAAAAAAAGATTGATACAAGGCTGAACTGTAACAACATAGAAAACATTAGGAACAAGAAGACACTGGAAACAAGACAGTGACAAACCAACGATGACAAAGGGAAGCACCGAGACTAATATACACAAGGGAGGCAGGATTAATTGAACACAGGTGAAACACATGAGGAACAGGTACAGACAATCACAGGGGCGGGAAACAGGACAAAGACAGGAAGTTAAGTTCCACAGGAAACCAATAACACACAGAACAGAACACCATCTTCCTTACAAATATTATTCAGCAAATCCATCAAATTTAGTAAATGCATAATTCCCCTCTAGACATAAAGACATTTGGTAAAAGGGTTTTATCAATGTTATGGTTTTTTATACTAATTTGGTTGACAACTCCAGCAAAATACTTTTAAGGAGATCAAATTAAAGATTATTTCTATTTAGGAGAGTGACTGTTGCTTCAGTGATATCAACACATCACACACAATCTTTTTTATGCTTTGGAAACTCACCAGTTTTGTATGTTTCTCTTGGTAAGAGTGAGCTAAATTAGAGCCACAAGCTATTATTACTATGTGACCTGGTAAATCTGATACTCTACCAGATCCAGGTCATTTTCTACCCTGTAACCCATCGTCTTTTTATTGACGTGATGTGTTGTTTGGCTGCAGAAGTAGAGGAGTGGTGGAGAGCTGGATTACAGAGGAACAGAGAGATTATTAAAGCTGGCAGAGAAGCGCTGTGTACGATGGTCAAAACAAACAAACACACGGCAGCTGAAAATGGTTTCAGTTCACTTCATCACTTCACAAACATCCTTTCACAGGGAGGCAGAGCTAAGATGACGCTGAAAAACTGGATGGAGTTTGGGATTTGAACGGATTTAGTTTGATGATACCTGAAACTTAAAGTAGGACGATGCTTCATGGTCAAACACCGTTAAAATGGAACCAAGTTTAGGTCTGATTGAGGTGTGGATTAAAGGTACAGTGTGTAGAATTTTGTGATATCTAGTGTTGAAATTGCATGTTGCAGCTGGACACCCCTCACCTCGCCCTCTCCTTCCAAACATGAAAAAGAACCTGTGGTAGACTTCAGTTGTCATAAAAACTCAAAAGGTGTTTAGTTTGTCCAGTCTGGACTAATGTAAAAAACATGGCGGCCTCCGTAGAGAGAGTCCCCTCGATGTAAATATAAAGTATTTAAATATAAAGGGCCTTTTCTGGGGATGAAACGAACTAGTGAAAACATCATGAGGATTGTTCTACATGAAATAGTTTCCTTTCACCTAAATGTTACACACTTGACCTTTAAAGGAGCCCCCTTCTTTTGCTCGGTGGGGTGGGGCTGGAGGGGGTTGATGCATCTGCAGCATGCCAGTCTGATCCTGTTACCTGCTGCGTCTGCTGAAGCAATTCAGGCCATTGCAGGAAAAGCGAGCAACGTTTTATTTTTAAATAGACTCGCTGCATTTGAGACCCGCAGTAGAAGTGACATCAACCTAATAGACATTAAAATGAGTTGATGAAGCTTTTGGGGCACTTTGTCAAGATGCGTTCAAGCTTAGCACAAATCATGTCTTGGCCTGTTTTTCAGCAGGCTTTATATCCTGTGTGGGGTGATGCATTTTCAGATGGAACGTGCAATATCTGGACTGACTGACCCCCAACCGTGTCCAGATCTGAGTTATTTGGTGACTAAAGAGAGAGATTATTAAGTAGAGCTTCTTTGAAAAGCCACATTTTACATGTTCCTTTATATTAAATCCATTCAAGTGATGAGTTTACAGACTGTGGACATTTCCTGAATGCACCAGCAGAGACGTCCACAAGCAACACTGGCAGCAAAGATCTATAACTGTTGATGTGACATGCCTCCCCCTCTGAATCATCTTTGTGTTGTGTGTGTGTGTGTGAGCAGGCTTTTGAATCTACGTGCTCTCGTGTCCTGTCTGTGTTGATTTCTCAGGAGCACGGCTCTAAAAATACCCTCGTGCCCTTGTGGTGATGATGGGTGTGTCCTGCAGGATGCTGAGTCTTTATAACCGCGCAGTCAGACGTCTCCAGATGCAGTCCCTTTTCTCCTGAGAGTTTACATCGGAGAGCAGCAGCAGGTAGGTCATCAAAAGTCAAAGGTCATCTGATCATGAGGTTTTCACTGTATTTGCAAAGGTTATGGGGAAACTATTGTGCTGGGGAGTTTGGGTTATGTTAAGGTTTGTTAAAGTGGGTTTTCTCTGACTAAAAATCAGTTTAAAAAATGTTTTTCATTTTATTTTACTCAATTTGAGGTTTAAGAGAAATTGCAGACAACCGTAGGAGAGTAAAAACATTGTTGCCTTAGAAATGTGTGAGGTTTATCTCAAATGCATTTGATGCATTCTTGAATTTTTGTGTATATCTTTGTCCACAGTTCAGAACATTCTACATGGATGCTTTATCCACATATTTTGTGGAGGAGACCTTTTGCATGAGAGGCAGAGACGAGGAAGAGGAAGACGATGAAGAGGAGGAAGGTAGAGATGATGAACATGAGGAAACATGTAAGATGAACCACTCTGGGTTAGACTTTTTGATTCAAACTCTACAGGAAAGTAATAATGATGTGACAGAGTCTGAGATAAGAGATGATGATGAAGAAGAAAATGAGGATGAATGTGATGAAGAGACGGAGAAGATCATGGTCGTCATAGACGAGAAGGACAAACCTAAGGATGGTGATTCAAACTGCAGCAGCACAGCCAGTGAGGAGGACATTTCAGGTGAGTTTACACGTTCTCCCCATGTCAGGGTAAGGTTTCTCCATCCCACAGTTCCTAAAACATGCAGCTTCTTTAAATTAGGTGTGAATGTCTCTGAATGTTGGCCCTGAAAAACGTTAGCGACCCGTTCAGGGTGGATAGCTCCCTGTCTATGTTAATGACAGTGATAAGAAGGTCCAGGATCTGCCCCCTGATCCAAAGCCGTACCAGAATTCTTCCAGGGTTCTTCCAGGACTCACACAGCATCTTTCCACCAAAATCCGTGTTAATCTGTACCGTCTTTTATGTGAAATCCTGAAAACTAGCCAACAAATACAGATGAAAAAACCACCTTCTCTGCTGACTCATCATTTTTGTTTTCTCATCAGTGTCAATTCACTGTGAATTTACATTTCTGTCATTTGAAGCTCCAGCTCCAGCCTGGACTCCCAGAATCATTTTCAGCCTTGATAAAGACATATACCACTACGCAGGGCAGGACATCGTCATTTATGAATCCATAGACTCCTTCGGAGCAGTCATGTGGCCGGCAGTAAGTAACTTGTACACGTGCTAAAGGTCTTTTTACATGTCACCTCAACAGCATGATTCATTCCTGCTGGTTTTGATTTTGGTGCAGGCGTTGGCTCTGTGCTCCTTCCTGGACAACAACAGGGTGGAGGTGAACCTGCAGGGGAAGGGGGTGCTGGAGCTGGGAGCAGGAACAGGACTGGTCAGCATTGTGGCCACACTGCTAGGTGAGCTGTCATCACGACAAACAAACACACAAGTCAAGGAATGTCAAAGAAAGCCATCCTTCTTTGTTACTATGGTGACGACAGTGACACGTGCCATGTTTCTGCATGCTCAGGAGCTGCAGTCACAGCCACAGACTTACCCGATGTGTTGAGTAACCTCAGGGCCAATGTGATGAGGAACACCAGGGGGCGTTGCAGACACCTGCCCCAGGTGGCGGTTCTATCCTGGGGCTACGACCTCGAGCAAACCTACCCTTCATCCCTCTACAGGTACGACTATGTGCTGGCAGCTGATGTGGTCTACCACCACAACTTCTTAGCCGAGCTCCTGGCCACCATGAAGCATTTCTGTCAACCCGGGACGAGGTTGATCTGGGCCAACAGGGTCAGGATGGAGTCTGATCTGACTTTCACTGAGAACTTTAAAAAGGCTTTTCACACAAGTTTACTGGCGGAGGACGGAGAAATTAAAATCTTCATGGCGACGTGCAGAGAGGGAGACATAGAAGAGGAAGGGTTGGATCACTGAGCTGGCTCACTTGGGTACAGGCCTGTGGGCCCTAAGGTTACGGGGCCCTTACATCACAGTGATTGTGTTTAACGTTTCTAGTCGGCCACACTGGAGCTATTACCTCTGAGTTGATATCTTCTTAATTCCTTTAGAAAAAGTTTAAAAAGTCACTAAGATCACATTCATAAATAGCAATCACGCATTTTGCATGCACTACATGAGGTAATAAAGGCAAAATATGAGTTTTTAATTTTATGCACTTTGCTTTTTTAATGAATTTTTTGCTACGTTGCAGTAATGTGATCCAGGCCTGGTGAGATATTATCCTGAGAGAGACACATCTGTGCCACATGAATTGAGAATGGTCATGAGAATCAATGATCTCACTGTAGATCAGACACTGACCATTTGATAATCAATTCACAATTTCAGTCATTTTGAAACACAAATGCCAAACCAGCCTCTCAGATGTGAGTTGATTTTTGTGAAGTTGAATATAGATCAATTATCTTTAGACAGTTTTAGTAGTATAGTGAATATTTTTATAGTGGCTAATATGTTTAGTGGCTAATTGTTGCCCTATGAGTTTGTCTGCATCACTACTGAAATGCCCTCATTCGGTTTATTGTTTACATTTTATTGTTTAATACAGTGATAGAACGTTTTAGAAAATGTTTTTGTATGGTACTTTATCTTCCCCTCTCTATAAACTCGTGTATAATGAATTTTTTCAAGTTGACATTGATATGAGGTGGAGCCCACGGCTAGATATCTCATTTGCTGTAAATAAATGTGTAAGAGACGACCACTGATTCTTCCAAATCATTTTTATTCAGTGTCATTTTCCTTGTTTGTGACTTGAATTCCATGTGAGCACAAAATGTTGCAACAGTAGCTCAGGTCTTTCCCACATGTCATGGAGGAAGAATGGGTATAAAATAATACTGACAGCATTCAACCTCATCTCATCAACATTCAGTAAAACATTGGCATTTACTATATTTCATGACTATAAATATAAACACTCGACATCCAGAAGTTATAAATTGTTCCTAACACCAGCAGAGTGCGGAACAACAGATATGAGACGACTGTCTGGTGCCAGAACTGGACGGTTCAGTCCTGCGGTGAAAGTTAAGGCCGTTCTCTGAGAGACTGTCATTGGCACCGCGTACTGTCGACTGCTGAGCCCTGAACATGACGTCTGTCCGAGCCAAAACCCGAACACAGGAGGAAGAAAAGGTGAAAAAAAACAATGCAGATGCAGGATAGAACAGAAAGAAAATGATCGACACACATTTTTTTTAAAAAGCAAAACCACATAGCTCCTGTAAAGTCCATGTGCACTCAGAGAGGCCTGTGCTGAGGCTGCTGCAGAAAGTGAAAACAAGACACAGCTAAAAACAGAAACGCAAAGTGTTGCTACCCCTGGGTCAACTTGAGTCATGACCACTGATTTGCTGCGCATGTATTTGTCATCCCAGAAAAGACTGATTATTCCCATGAGGACTAAAGGCCTCAGATTGAAAGCAGCTGCTTTTACATTCTTAAGCTTGTACCTTCCACTTGTGAGAGGACAGAAAACATCACGCAGACGACCCCACGAAGTTAAAACATTACTGTGTATCCTTATTTCCTTCTTCAAAATTTTAAAATGTCCAATTTACCATCTTTAGTTTAACTGCAAAAATTTTTTTGCCTTCATAATTTACATGGGAAAATCCTTCTTTGGATTAACTATACTACAGCGTGTGGCAGGAAATCACAGTGAAAAAGGGGTCAACAATCACAAATATAAACAAGAAACAACTGAACGTGTTAGTTCATATCTTTAGCATTTTTAGCAAGAGCCACGAGTCCTTGTTGGTTACGTAAAAAATTCAAAAGGACCATAGCAGGGATTTTACATGTTTTAGCCCCTCAGCTAAAATTCACGTTCACTTGACATTAATGTTGACAATTTTCAAATGCATGAATTGTTTGAAGTTATTCCATCCATTCATTTCCATATGACATTATGATACTTAGTGGGTTTCACACTTGCTCAAAGGGGAACTCCGCTCATTCCCAACTGAAAGATGCAGTGTGTAAGATTTAGGTGAAAGGGATTTTTGGAAATAATTGAATATAAAATAATCCTAGTAATGTTTTCACTGGTGTGTTTCACTGGTTGGTTATGTTTACCATAGAATTGACTCTTATTATCTAAAAACTTTATATTTACATTGAGGGGGGGGCCGTTAGTTTTTTTACTGTCGTCCAAACTGGACAAACTCAAACCTGATATATAAGTTTTCATGACAACTGAAGTTCACCACAGGTTCTCTTTCATGTTGGGAAGGGGAGGGTGAGATGAGGAGTATTCAGCTGCAACATGCAGCTTTACCTCTAGATGTCACTAAATTCTACACACTGAACCTTTAAAGTCTGTTCTCGGTTCTCGGGTAGTAGCCGCTATGACACAAGTAAGATGAAGCTTCAGAGGAAACTGAAATGTCTGAAAACGATGAAGTTGAAAATGAGAAAAATATGAGGGAAAAACATTGAGCTTATTAAAATAATCGAGCTCTGCAGCTTGTTCCTCGTGTCCACTTGAGGTTAGAAGCTCCATGCAACATACAGTATGCATGCTACTAGCATTACACATCTCAATCACTGACCGAGCTGTCAGCATTGTGGGTAATGTAGGTGCCTAACCCATAGAAAACTCTGATTCGCCTGTATTAACTTAAACATTTAAAAAAACTGTGCATGGTGAGTCCAATAATGTCACACGAAAGCAATGGAAAACTGGCGGCGCACTCATTTTGCGTAATCTACCCCACGACAAACTGAAACTCTTATATTCACAACAAAGACTAATTCAAGTCGAAAAGATCATCTAATCTCTTTCACCAGAACTGTCAGCTGATTCACATATTGCTAAAATCTGATTGGTGCACGAACCAGTGAGAGGAGCTCAGACAATTAGTTGCTTGATGAAACAACGAAAAGGGTTGCAATTTAATGTTGGACGCCATCGCTCATTGTAAAAAGATGACGGAGAAATTTGAATGAATTCAGACTCAATGTTCATGATGGAAAGAAATGAATATAAACCAAAAAAAATCATAAAAATCATCAATAAGCACAATGGCTCACTGTGATGTGATTCATAATAAATCAGATCAGAACATACAAAGCCACTGGCTTGGTCCTTCAAAGTAAATTACGTGATTGAAGAAAAAATAAAATAGACCTCAGATTAACCCCCCCTCTAAATGGCTGTCGTTTCTGTTCATGTACACAAAATATGCTCACAGGTTCACATAAAATCATTCACAAACACACACTAAGAAAGTGGATATTGTCAAAATCTGGTTTCTGACTAAAAATCTGCCAAATAAAACTATTTTTCCGTACATCCTAGAAGACATGCATATATGCAAAATACATCGATTAGAATAATATTTGTATTATATACCTATTGCATCTTAATATTTTTATGTTACGTGTGTCTGTACATTTTATGACATTGTGTACAAATGCAACATTTTAAATGCAGCAGAGAAAAAACTGGACTACTACATGAGCATTTTACAATGAAATCTGATGTGATCATCCTACTGCTTCCTCCGACTGCATCGCTTGTGTTAGTGAGGTCTGTGTGATGGTTGTCAAATGTGGCGTTCGGGTAACCGCAGTGTGAAGTGGGTGAACAACACCTCTAGAGGTAGAAGCCAAGACAGCATGTAAGTTCCTGACATGTCACCAACAACCTGCATACGGTGCCTGGACACATCACACTGCTGATACAAGCGTAAAACCATATTGACACCAAAGGCTGATGGGAGAAATGACGGCAAGTGGCTGAGTGCTGACTGCATGGCTGATTCCGCAGCTGTCAGTGGTCAAAACCCTTGCACTTCCTCTTTTGTCCCATCAGAGAAGGTAAGGTACGTGTAGAAAGGCACCTCAGCACTGTTGTGTGTTGAGACTGTAACCAAGTCTTAAGACAGACAAGATTCAACGTTAACTGTATAAACCCGGCCATCCAGGAACCATCAAAAACAAAGAGACAACATTAAGTTCTTTCTTCCTTTTGATTCCAGGCTCGGGCAGACTGCGTGCCCTCAAATGTCCCGACGTGTGCAGCAGCGAGTCCTCCCGACTTCCCACTGACGCATCATTCTGTTGTTTTTATGAAAGTGACTAAAGTTTTTTGAAGAGTTGGGACGAATCCCTGGAGTCCACACTGGCCCTTCCACAGTATTTACATGAGAGAATGAGGTTATTGATATGGAGCCCCAACAGCTGAGGGGGAGTGTGGGTGTATTGAAAGCCTCCACATGTAGATAACAGCAAAATAAAAGAGAACATCCGGCTAAGATAACACTGAGCTACAGTAACACAAAGCCTAGCAAAAGTTTTCTCTGTTGATATTCAAACAAGAGGCATTATCTCTACGTGGTCGACAGAGCTGTGATGTTCAGCACATGACTCCACTGTCTCATGATGTGGAGTGTATCAGACCGTTGTCCTTCATTTTGGTGTTTACCTACATCTCAATTTAAAATAAGGAAATTCTCAGGAGGCAGCTGGTTGGTCAGATGCATAGACCATGTGACCCTGAGGGACACAATATCGAACTAACCATGTAATGGACCGTGAATGGCCGTGGTGCGCATGCATGTGTGGGTGTGGATGTGTGTCTGTGTGCCTAGAAAGGCGTGTAGTCAGTTGGGTACATGACAGGAAGCCAGTTCTCACTGTAGGTCGCGCAGTGTGTCCATCGTAGATGTCGCATTAGCTGGAGAATGAGAAACAGGAAATAAACAAACCATTCAGCTTACAAAATTATTCAATCATAGCTATGTTTTTTTAAATTTTACTCTGAGGAATCAAAATATCTTGCAAATATTTCAGGATTGGGACAGACAGCAGGCGTGTGTGATACCTGGATGCAGTTCTTCATGTTCTCTTTGCTGGGCTTCTCCTCCACCATCTTTGAGGCGTATTTTAAGGCCCGGCTGTACATCTTGTTCACAAGAGCATGTTTATATGAAAACATCAACACCTGAGCAGTGGAAAAGGCAAAAGACAAAATATATTACTTAACTGAATTAGTATAAAAGTGGCGAGGTTTATTACACATTATTAGATGGTATTAAATGATGATAACTCAGGTGTTATACTTTATTTTGTAATTCACAACAACTACCATGAAAAGACAAAAAACTTGTTCCTTTATTTCTATGAAAATGGGCACTGTAGTTGATTTTTATTCAGTCCCACATTCACTACATCATCCTGCTGCTGTAAACACTCTTAAATACTATTACTACACTGATGGTCAATGAAACAACAAGTAAAAAGAGTCTAAAGCCGTTTTCATATATGATTTGTGGGTAAAGTCCAGATAATATATTTGTGGACCATTTTATAAAGATGTGTGTTTTAAGTATTAAGCATCGGATTCCAGCTAAGTGCTGCATTAGAATTAGGAAGGAAGAAACATTGAGAGATGTACTAACACATTTTTGTCTTTTCATGGAATTTGTTGACAATGAGAAAAATAGAGAATATTGTCAGACTTAACCTTAACCATGTGGATAATATAGTCAAACAAGAAGTATTTTAAACAGTTCAATGTAATTGTGTTTGTGCCAAGTTATTTACTTGTGTTTTTAAGAACCCTTTACTCACCTTGGAGTCAGTTAGCTCTGCCCACTTCTGCACCTCCCAAAACGTATCTGTCAGAGCTTTAGCCACGTTCTGCACGGCGTCGTCAGAACTGCTTGCCACCTGCACCCCACCCTCCTCCTCTACTACTGCTGTTGCTGCTGTTGTTGTTTGTTCCGTGGTGAGGGCACCGGCACCTTCCTGCAGCGCGGGGGGCAGCAGGATCTGGTCAGCCAGCGCGCAGCCCTTTCTACACAGAGCGTCCAGCAGAGACGACTTCTGCTTCTCCATGTCACTGAAACGCAGATGTTCAAACAAAGACCTTGACATTTGGATGATCTACTCAGGGTTCACCGGTGTTCTGTGGCGGAGGTAATAATACATAATAATAAAAAAGTTTTAGGCAAAAAGAATTGAGCCAACATTTAAAATAGCAAATACCATATATTTGAAGTCAGGCTATGAAATGTCACAAATGAAAATTACTTGATGGAGTTAAATGCTTAAAAGTAACAAATATCAGTAAATTTGCTAACATTAGCCACAATAAGCTACAGGTCACACTAGGATGGGGCAATTACCTGGTAGAGTTAATGTGAAATACTTGATCATTATAAGGAAAGTAATTGTAAATATTAAAGTATTGTTATACTGTATCACAGTTATTTTGTGTAGTTCTTGTGCTGTTTGGCTCTTTAATACTGGTTTAGTTTGCATTGATGCAGGACTCATATTTCTACTCTTATTAGGATTCTTCAGTTTGACATACGTCTTGATAGACACGGCATCGGGCCGAGGGTCTGTCTTCATGGTGAGGTAAACAGCCAGGGCTGTCTGGTCAATGTGGGAGATGACGATGTCGGCAGCTGCCACCACCTCCCTGAGACGTTTGACACGCTCCTTAACACAAACAGGAGAAATGACTGTGAGCAGAGATTATAAAACTCCAACATCTGGTTCAACATCAATCAGTAATCCTGACTGAATGAGTTTCCTCCATTTCCCCTTTTCTCTAACTTGTTTGCTCTGTTACCTTCTCTGAGTCCAGCTGGTGCAGTCTTTGCACATGCATTGGAAGGTAATCTGGGTAGTTTTCCATCAGTTCTTCATAGGTAGAACTGGAGTCCAACCTGAAAAGCAAAGAGGGCACAGGACACATGGATGAGCGAGAACTAAATAAAGCTTGTATCAGACATGCACTGAAGTCCAGACATCTTCCTGAAATTTTCCAGGGTGGTTGTATGTGAGAACATAAATGTCCGGGTCAGTTGCTACGGACATTTTCCGGAAGTTTTCCTGCCGCTCCCACAGCAAAATGTGTAGAAATGAGTGAGCACATATGAAAAAACCCACAGGACAATGCTTGGAAAAGTCACAGCAAGCGAACTGGAGCGTGCTGAAGTTTCTAACATGTGGTGGACGCAAAACTGAAAGAATACAAATATCTCAGGATAAAAAAAGAGGAGTTATAGGTTAACGAAGATGTCAACTTGGGAAGGCAACAAGATTAAACAGGCTTTGGTGCTACGTGCCGACTGCAATGTCGAAGTGTTGTCCTCAATGAAATGTATACATCATGTCAACTTGTACACCTCCAGCCTCTGACTCAGTCAATCATTGTTCAGACACTTTGCAGAGTTCATTGTCTGAAAGTGTTTCAAGATAAAGTAAGCAGTAGAGAAACTGTACACACTTTGTCATCCACTGAATCTTCAAGTCCCGCATGGCTTCTGCAAATTCATCCTTCACATCTTTCTCTTTGTCGGCCTCCTTGTCCTTCTCCTTCCCTCCATTCTTTGTTTTGTTGGGAGCAGGAATTAGATGGTAAATGACTGGTACGATGTCCTGTATGAACACAAAAGAATTTGTTTAATCAAAAACCAACATCTGACACTTTCAACAAATTCTCTTTTTCTACTCTCAATCAGCAGATTCTCATCCTCTTCCTACAAACCAACTCCCTCTGGTTCTCTCTCTTTAATTTCATTCAAGAAAAAAGCTTTTTAACACCCAGTTATAAAAGTTTAAAGTATCAATCACTGATATATTAATAATTTCACTGACCACCAGAAAACATTAACGTCTTCTTAACAACTGCCAGCTATGACTAGACTGTTGCAAACTTCTATACAGCAATATTGACAAGCTTTGACATGATTAATGCAGATGTAACAAATCCCAACTTAAAGTGAGGAATAGGCCATTTCCCAAATGGTAGGAGAGCAGTGGAAGCTCTGTTGTACAGTGTTTCTAGCTCATCCAGTACCTTTTTAAACTTTCCTTGTCGTTTTGCAGAGGCCTGCCCCTGGTGGTCAAAATAACACACAGTGAGGAAGAGAAAACACAAACACACCAAAAAGGATTCGCTCTCTGTCTTCATTTGATCTGTCATCCTCATTCAGCGAGTCTGTCTGTCACCTACCTGTTAGACTTGCTATAAAACATGTGATGCAGAAAACAGGGGCGTGACTCTCAGGTTTCTATCTCACTAAATTAGACCGACAAATACTGTTTTTAAATAGTGTGCGTGTGTGTGTGTGGAGTACTTAAACAGTTCTCCAGCAATGCAATGTGAAACAATGTTAAAAATGTTTTTAAAATATTGTTTATAAATGGACGATTACGTTTACAGTCCTTTGCATTGGAGTCACTTAGTACAGTGAGTTTAACCACAAATTTAATACAGATGGAAAATGTTCAGATGTGTATGAAACAGCTCCATGGAGACATAAAGGTGAGCTCGAGCAAACCAGTAAGATATTAAGGAAAGACCCTGGACATAAGACATGCACAATTGATATGTACACACAAGTAAATGTTTTGGTTGTCAAACTTTAGAGAATTTATATCCAACAAATTTGTGGTTTTTGACAAACACACAATGTTGGTCTAATGTTAAATAGCATAAACTGCTCAAGTTGTTGTTAAAAATGTCATTTTCATTTGTGCCATTTTTTAATATTTATTTAATAACAAAGACAAACAGTATAAAAGCTAAAACCAGGCTAATCCCTCCTTTTGGCAAAACCTTATATTTTTCCCAGTTTCGGGTTAGGTGAAATATTGACAGCATGGTCCACAAGCAGCTGACTCTCACTATAAAAAGATTAGTTTCCACCAGTGTAAGTCAGTCATTCACAAATTCAATAAACAACCAGATCCATCGTGTTACAATCTGAAATAAGCATCAGACTGTTTTTCTAGAACAATGGACAAAGATAACTGAGTCAGTAAAGGACATGCATTAACCAAAAGGATGGAAACCAGTTTAAGAAGCAAGAGACCAGACTGATCAGCTGAGGTATGAAAGTCATGGGAGAAACAGTGCGTCTGACAGAATTTGAAAAAAGTAAAAAGCAAAAAGCAATGGTCTTTGACCCTGATCATCAGAACCACAGCTACTTCACGTATTAAATGACTCAATTTCAGACTTTACATCCCTGACCAGGATTGTCAAATTGACCCTGATAACCGACTGAGCCCTTCACTCTGAGGGTTTGTTCTCCATTCACTCGACTACATGTGAAAGTTAAAAAAAACGCACTGGTGACTTTGGGGTCCTGAGGATCAGGACTTGACCACTGCTCTGAAATATAGAGATGAACAAAGAACTGAGTCACTCACTGCTTTCTTGCCATACTCGCTCTTGGGGACAACAAGGGAGCCTGAGAGATAGCAACCTGGACTCGTCCCTTTAGGGATCCTGAGAGAGGAAGAAGTAAAAGGGGGAAGACAAAGATAGAAAGAATAAAGACTGATATATCACATTCAATGATATTAATGTAGAGAATATTTTATCAATTCTTTTTTTTATTCTGCTACACTGGGATATTTGCAGTTTAAGAGACTCAATAGAAATATTAAGTGGGAGTAAACAACACTCTTCACCAGCCTGAGCAGTCACTGAATACATCCCTAAGTTAAATTTGATAAATGAGACAATTCTCTTCATGCTTCTCATTTACTTATAACTCAATCTGTTTCCTGTAGATTATAAGAGAATGACTGGATCTCCAGCCACAGCTGTTTCCTCCTCAGTCTCATGTCACATTTCATGGGAGAAAATAGAACTATTTGTAATTACAGTGCTGTGACCAGGCACCAGTCACACCCATCAGGTGATTCTTTCATGTTCTCATTTTATAAAGTTGAACTATAGCAGTCTGACCAGTTTGACTCACTTGTCATCTGGCAAGGCTGTGACGTAGAAAGGCTGAGTGGCACCGGGGCACAGGGTGACAGAGTTGGCCTTCTTCTTGGCCATGAGGGCGGCTCGATGCGTCTCGTACACATCTAGACTGAGGGTGGTGGACAGACGGTGAGACACCACAAATGGTAGGTCCTTAAGTCGCTCGAGCTCACTGGACTGCTCGTGGCGAACTTGCAGTCGCACAGTGTAGTCCCCTTTTTCCAGCTTCAGGGAATACTGTGACGGACAGAAGAGAGACGATACAGTTCAGTTTATTAAGTTCACACAAAGAACTTATTCTTCTCCGTCTTATCCATAACCAGTGTGATTACTCAGATTAGAGAGCCCCTTTAGTTTAGATGCCTTGAAGATACATGGTTACTATAAACCTGTGTATAAATGCAGCAGGTCAGAGAGAGAAAGGCTGTGAGTATTCAAGAAAAGTAAACTGGTCACTTGTTTCTTGCACCGTATTGTGATGTCATGAGAGGGTGTGTCATAGAGGGGACATACATTCTCTCCCGGTGGCTGCACCAAGGACTACAACCCATCATGGCCTCCATTAAAGAACTACAAAACCTATAGTCAGCAGGAGTGTTGCCCAGCTGAATGATATTTTGCTGATTGCCCCCGGGGGGGGGGGGGGGGGAAGTGAAGTGAATAGAGCAGATAAAGAAGAGACTCTGTCTGAGGTAGAAGAGAAGGGAGTTCTTTTGTTAGTTGACAAGGAAGACTGTGAATGAGAGTTTTTTTGATTCAAATAAGTGTTTTTTTTGTTTATCTGCTGACTGCAAGAATTAAGTTAAACCTGTTAAAAGAAGACTGAATACAGTGGATTTGAGTTGGAAAGCAAAGCGGCCTGTCTTCATTTCCTGCACCCACACCTCAAAAGCTACAAGAGGGAAAGATCCCAACCTCTCAAGACATCACAGTATATATGATCTTTTTGAACTTTTTATGTGAGTCAGGCAAATATGTTAACACGCACTTCTTCTCGATCTCAGGCGGTCACCATCATCATTTCTAGCACGAGTTGAAAATGTCCTCACATAAAAAAAAAAAAACATTACAGTGTGAACAAAAGCATGTTCGTGTCCACATGTCTGAGGAACAAGCATTTAGTTTCCTTGTCTAGTCTTTTGTTGTCATACCGATTCAAAACCTGGTAACTGGTATACATGGCAGAGAAATCTGTGTTCTCACACCAAATCCTATCTCATGAAAAAAGAACTAGTGATAAGTGTGAACATCTTGCGAAGAAAAAAACATGTGATCTTGAAATCACTTCCTGTGTCTGAGCGTACCTGGTGTGGATAGGCGTCTCCTGAGCCCAGTAGTCTCTTGTTCTGATCAAACAGCATCCAGAGCTGACTGTCAAACTCAGACTCATACAGCAGCTCGCACAGCATGGGGCAGCTGGGGGTAATCTCTCCACTCTTAGGCTGAGGACAGAACAAAATAAGATTATACACACATAAAAAAACCAAACTTAAAAACCACGCTGTTTCTCTTGTGTTGTGCTGGCAGTACCTGGTGAAAACTGTAGGTGAGGACTATCTCGTAGAGTTGTCTGTTATTGGGTAGAACATCCCTCATTCCCAAAGCTTTTATCTTTGAACTTAAAGGTCTAAAACCAAAGCGAAAACAGGGAACACACGATTAACAGCACTGTTATCACACAGTAATATATATATGCACGTGTGCGCGCGAGAATGTGTGTTACCTGAGAGGCTGAACCCAGGACTTGAGGGTAATAGCGGGCGAAACCTCCTCGTACCTCAGAGGTGACGACACATCAAAATTCGTCACTCCCTCTGAGGCATGCTGGGTAGAGACACACAAGAGTTTAAAAAAGCGCAAAAAAACTAACACTGCAACTTATTTTGTGCTGTGTCTGTATTCTTACTATGTGCAAAGGTGAGGGAGATGTGCTGAGTCCATGGAAGGAGATGCTGTAGTCTACTGTGACGTCACCCAGGCTTGCCCACCAGCGAGCAATGCACAACTCTACTATCCGACCTGACTGGAGAGGGGACAAAAACAAACAGGGATTTATTTTATATTTTTATATGCATGCATCTAAGAAATGGAGTTACTTGCATTGGCCTTTTTAAATATATCTGACTCTGGTATGTTTAGTTAATGACTTTCATGCAAAGTCACAGTCAAATAAATGCTTATTATAAATAAAATATACGTACCAACACAGGAAAAGCCTCTGTTAACGAGCCTCTTTCCAATAGTGAAGAGAACTTGTAGAATTCATTAGCTCTGTACGCTTTCTGTTTGACCAGGTGCACAGCATGGAGAACAAACTTTGATGACACATCTCCTGAATGAGAGGTCAGTGTAATCTCTGCAGGACAGAGAGGAGAGTAACAGAACA